AAAAAAAAAAAAAAAAAAAATTATTATATGCAAAGTAAAAGAGTTATTTTAAATAGCGTTTTCTTCAGAAATTTTTTTTATGTTAAAAGCGCGATTTGGAACAGCGTTTTCTTAATTAAAATCGCGATTTCAAATAGCGATTTCACTATTCATCAACTTTTGGCATCCTAACAGTAAAAGCGCGAATAGTAATGGCGTTTTAGCTTAGTTTTGGAATTCCGTCAAAAGTTGACCTAGTTTTAAAAATACAATGAAAAAAAAGGCTTATATTGGGAAAAGCCTCCATAAAACTACTAGGGTCCTTGAAATGTTTATTCAGCTTTTGGTAGACTATACAGTATACACATATGTTACCATCAACTGGGCCTACTCTCTCACCAACAGCTGAAAAAACTTGTCCTCACCTCATGATGCACACATTTTAGCATAAAGAAAATCATTATTAAATTCGAAAAAAAAAGAGATTAAAAAAAACCCAAAAAATATTTCAAATTTAGAATTAATGGCCAAGATTTACTCAAGGCTGGACTACACAGAACATCTTTGAATTTGAATCACCTTAAAGACGACCACTACAAATTTGTCCCATTGTTAACTTTAAGGTATTAGAATTAGTTGAGATATGCGTAAACTAACCCAAACACCTAATTATTACAAAAATATATATATACAATATCCTAAAAAAAAACTAATCATCTGTAATAATTTTCTCCACATATTGCTTCCAAGTTGGTTGGAATAGTCCATACATTTTATTTATTTATTTGGTTAGAACGAAACTTCCATTGAAATATGCACCTACCAATCTAATTATCACACACTAAAAAATTAAGGAATATATCATTCACACCATTCTAAAAATTGTGTACTACATTTTTTTGGCCAAGTTGATTTTAAATCCATTTGTTTAGCCATTAAAAATAGATCCCATGTGACTAGTTTTTTATGGGTGGATATCCATGTGCTTAGCTAGGTTTCATTGAAAAGCAACTTATTTTTTCGATTTTGTTTTGCTTTTTCTGATTTTTTTTGTAACTCTGCGTAATTTTTTTTAAACGTTTGTCCTGTCAATAATAATAAAGTATTTGAGTTATTTTTAAAAAAAATTAAATTAAATTAACTTATTTTTATCTTATTTGAACCTTTTTTTAAAAAAAATATAAAACTAAAATTTTGGTATAATTTGGTTGAGATAGATCTACAAAATAAAAAATTTAACATACCTTTTTTAAAAAAATGTCTTTAAAATCGAAAAGAAGTCAAACTAAAAAAAAAATCAAAAAAACAACTCCCCCAAAAGAGTACTAGGATGCTTGAGAGAATTTTTCAAGATGATGACAGACTATAAATAACCATTTAATATAATAAGATGCTTCAGAACCCTTATTTATTTATTTGTTCAACATTCACATTCAACAATGGTTGCCAAAGTAAAATATGATTGAGGATACTATTATTTTAAAATTATTCTTTTTTATTTTTTTAATGTTTAACATCTCAGCGGATCCGAATAATCCTGGATTCCATATGATATGCCAATTAATCCATCAGCTTAATTTTAAAATTTTAACACAACTAACCACTCATTAATGTAATCACAGCTCATCGCTTCAATAATGCTAAGTACTCAGAAAATTTATCAAGAAAAAGCAACGTGCGATAAAGATCTATTTCAATTGTAGGTCTGCACAAAAAAGTTTTGTTGGAACACATAACAAGTCTGTTTAGTTGCAGAGAAAATGGAAGAAAAGAAAATTCCGGGATCTTTCAGCTTTCTTGTGACTCTCTCTCTCTCTCTCTCCCCTAATAATCATCATTTTCTTCTAATTATAAAGTAAAGCACAAATTGCCGAACAAGAAGATGATAAATTTAGGCTTACAAATCATATAAAGTAAAACAAGATGAGGCAGGAGGGCAAAGAAGAGTAATCAATGCGGGTTTCAGACAATATCGCATGCCTGTCTACTATTAATATTAGCTGTGATAAGAGGTTCGATATTTCCATCCAAAACAGAGTTTAGGTCGGGCAATTGGATGCCGGTTTTTACATCTTGTACAAGCTTGTGTGGGTGAAACATGTACCTTCTAGTCTGTTGATGCCACGTGTCAGTGATTGCATCATTCTTGATGGTCTTTATATCGGAAATTCCTTGGTCTCTCAGAATCATAAGTAGTTTGGCCTTCAAGAGATTTAGGGCCTTGATCTTATTTGCAAAGTGGTTTCTTTCTCCTACAAAATGAAGCACATTCTCTCTTACTACTAACACAAACTGGGGATCACAATCCCAAATCAATACTCAATGATCATTTGTCAATATTCATATCAAGTCTAGTCTAATAAAGCATTACATAAAAGGCATATATATAGATGCATAGGCGTTATCTAATTAGAAAAACAAAGGAGTACGAAATTAACTAATAAAGCAATAAAATCCTAACAAAATTCTTATATTCTTCAATTTAATGTCATCCAATGTCTTTCTGATCCCCATCACTTCTCCACTTCCCAGCATCTGCTAAGAATGACTCTGACCGCAAAGTGGCTTAAAATATTTTCAGACTCCAAAACCACTTGAGAAGAAGGTTTTTAAAGTTCAATTCTTTTCAAGTTGGTTCCTAATACATAAAATGCTGTTTAGGGACTTCTCAGTTTGACTTAAAATATTACAGTCACATTATCAAATGCAATATATGTTTGTGCAAGCATGCGCCCATGCATGAATTATGATAACAATCAATGAACAAATAAGCTAAAATAATTTAATTCAAGCTCGATAAAATTTTGAACAATGGGTTCTGAAATGTCCTTTTACCCGAGGATTCTACTCTTAAGCCAGTCGGAATATGCTTAATGCATACTGTAAATCCAGTTTTACCCCACACTGCTCCACATGATGACGGTGATGAGATCAATAAATCCTCATCATCAATTAGTAGGTCAGGAGCTGTTTCCAGGAACAGAGGAATAACATCCACCGCAGTCATGCTAGCCTGCAAGAGATCAAAATTAGCCAAGACATTGCGAAGATGACTACATGAAACTAAACGATTTTGAAGGATAGCAATCATAGTTTCATAACAGATGCAACAAATCTAGGGTGGCCCAAGGCAAATGAGTTGGTGTTTGAGGACCCTAGTGTCATGAGCGAGGTTTGCCATACGAGTTGACATCTGATTTTAAGGCCAAAAGAGACGGGAATTCATACCTCATCAGAAACAGATGTATTTTGGGAACTGCTTATCATGGAGTGAACACCTCTTTCCCCTGACAGATAGCCATAGGCATACTTGGATTCAAACTCGATAGTTGCAGACTTGACACCACCATTCTTTGAAAGATATTTTTCAACTATCCTTCCTCCAAGGCCTTGCTTTTCAGCCCATTTTATGTACATTTGCAGTATCTGTTCTGCCCATATCTGGATTGGGAAATTCGCAAAATCATTCAGTGAGATCAAGAGAAAATTCTAGTAGCAAAAATCATATACAAATCTATCAATGAGCCAACTCAACAAAGCCTCATCCCATCTTCACAAAGCTGTCAAAGTAATTTATTGTTTAACACTTTCCACAAGGATTATGACTGGGATAATATTGTTGTAGTAACCAGATTAGTCTCGTATATTACAAAGCAGACGAGGTCAACGGTTGATGTAGCTTTTCTCAAGTGACAGATTCTCGGAACGATAACAATAACGATGGTGGTAGTAGAGTTGGTGGTAGTAATGATTAAAGTCATCATTGATAAATGAAATTTTTGTAATGCAAGTCTTATTTGCAAGCAGAGTAAGCACACTGAAGAGTAGAACATAAATATCAAACCTCAGGATAGAAGCCTGAAATTCCAGCTTTAATTATAACGCATGCTCCCTCGATGTCATATGGCCCCCTAAGGAGTTTGGACATCTCATACTTGTCCAAGAACTTGCTTACATCTAAAGAGGCATTGTATGCTTGCTTAAAAAGCCTAAAATTTATAGCATCCATCTCTGCCAACTGAGTGATCAGCTTAGCTTCTTCAGCCTGCACAAAGTAGAATAGATAATAAGCCCAAAATGTAAACAAATAACAAACTTTATCCAATAAACCTTGAAGGTCAACAAACTTATTCTAAATAACTTGAACGTCTCTCCAACCAAATCAACCAAACACAGGGCAAAAACTGCAAAGCACCCAAAAATAAAAAAGAAGAAGAAAAAAGAGAGCCTTTTTTATTGTTACCAAGGCTCTTATAGACAATCAAGAGCAACCGTACACATCTCTCAGGAACCACCATATAGTCATCCACCAACTGACATAGTCTATGCCATAGTGACATTGCTACATAACTATGCAAACAGAAATAATCATAATTTCTCTCGTCCTTCCTACACCATTGAGGGAGCAAGTCAACTAGTGCTTTTCATACCATGTGTCAGGCCCAACCTAATGAATTGCTAAAATTTCATGTAGAATAATGTTTTTGACACCAAACGGTGCACTGTTTGGTGCGTCTAGCACAACTTTTTCACATATCCAACGTCTATTAAGTGAATGTGTTAAAATTAATGTATAAAGAGAAATAGAGAATTGTATTATTGATTGATGTATATTGATATTACAAATGGTGAGTAGCTCATTATATAGGAGAGGGTGAGTGTAGTAGGTGAGGAGTAGGTGAGGAGTAGGTGGTGGTAGGTGATGGTAAATTGGTGGTAGGTGATGGTAAATTTTAACAGCCCCCCGCAAACTCAAGGAGGATAGAAACTAACCAACTTGAGTTTGGAGAGAGTAAGTTAACCGGAATCAATGTCGAGTGAACGTGCTCGGTGGACAAGGAAACACGGAGGCCGCACCGTCAAGAACTGCCCAGGATGGAGGCAAAAAGAAGAGACCGGCGGCAGAGTAGTGGAAGTGAGGTCGGTGGGTGGCCGTCGACAGAAAAGAAAACAAATCTGTTGTTGTTGTGATGGTGATCTTGTGTGGTTTTTTTTTTGTTTTTTTTTTTTTTTTTTTTTTTTTTTTTTTGGGTGTGGTGTAAAATGTGGATCGGGGTGAACCCCTGAGATGAATAAAATATGGGTTGTTGTGCAAAGTGGTAAATGGTTTTGGGTGTTTTTTTTTTTGTGTGGAATATAAAAAATAATAATAAGAAAATGGAAAAAAGGGTGATGCTCACTAACGAGTGGTATAATAATGAAATATTGATGGAAAAAAAAAGATAGAAAAAACAAAAAATAAAATAAAATAAAATAAAAGTAGGGATAGAAAAATATATTATAATAATATATATATATATATATATATATATCTTTAAAATAAAAGAAAAGTGTGAAATAAAAAGAAAGAGTGGTGTTTGGTCAGACATGGGGTGATCAAAGAGAATAAAAAAGAGAGGGTTTGAAAGTGGAAAATAAAGAAAAGAAAAGAAAAGGGGATCATGTGGGTTGATTTTGCTAGCATGTTGTAATATTATAATGGCCATACATGTGCTGCAAGTGGTTTGGTGATAAGTAGTCTGTCTGGCTTGTTTGGTGGAGAGTGGTTTAAAAAATAAAAAAAAAGTATGGGTATGTGCAAAAGGTGGTGGATAAGGGGTTGGAAAGTGGTCACCCTGGTGGATGTCCTTGAGTAGAGAGAGAGTAGAAAGAAGAACACATCTTTGGTGTGGGTCAGATCATTGAACTGAACAGAAGCCTCAATCCCTCTGTTAATACCACTCATCAGGCCTTTATCCGGATCACAAATGAACAAGCAGGAAGGTTCGATATATCTGCAGAAACCGCACAAGGAATTCCCAAGTTCGATAGCGCTTCCCGTATGAGCCCACATGGGAAGTAAAGATACATGCCTGTTGCTTGTGCTGCCTTACTTTCAGCCATAGTAGATGGATCTTGAACTGAACCAGAGTTTTGAGAGGACGGTTCAATTGACATGTGTGAAAGCCAGTTGAATGTGACAGATTCTCGGAACGATAACAATAACGATGGTGGTAGTAGAGTTGGTGGTAGTAATGATTAAAGTCATCATTGATAAATGAAATTTTTATAATGCAAGTCTTATTTGCAAGCAGAGTAAGCACACTGAGGAGTAGAACATAAATATCAAACCTCGGGATAGAAGCCTGAAATTCCAGCTTTAATTATAACACATGCTCCCTCGATGTCATATGGCCCCTTAAGGAGTTTGGACATCTCATACTTGTCCAAGAACTTGCTTACATCTAAAGAGGCACTGTATGCTTGCTTAAAAAGCCTAAAATTTATAGCATCCATCTCTGCCAACTGAGTGATCAGCTTAGCTTCTTCAGCCTGCACAAGGTAGAATAGATAAGAAGCCCAAATGTAAACAAATAACAAACTTTATCCGATAAACCTTGAAGGTCAACAAACTTATTCCAAATAACTTGAACATCTCTCCAACCAAATCAACCAAACACAAGGCAAAAACTGCAAAGCACCCAAAAATAAAAAAGAAGAAGAAAAAAGAGAGCCTTTTTTATTGTTACCAAGGCTCTTGTAGTCAATCAAGAGCAACCGTACACATCTCTCAGGAACCACCATATAGTCATCCACCAACTGACATAGTCTATGCCATAGTGACATTGCTACATAATGTCTATGCCATAGTGACATTGCTACATAATAACTATGCAAACAGAAATAATCATAATTTCTCTCGTCCTTCCTACATTTATACACCATTGAGGGAGCAAGTCAACTAGTGCTTTTCATACCATGTGTCAGGCCCAACCTAATGAATTGCTAAAATTTCATGTAGAATAATGTTTTTGACACCAAACGGTGCACTGTTTGGTGAGTCTAGCACAACTTTTTCACATATCCAACGTCTATTAAGTGAATGACTAATAAAAATCCTGCAAAAATGTTTGGTATAGAACATCACCTTATATCTCAAGTCTTTGAGAGCATCAACCACTTTGGAGCTATCAGCTAACTTCACAAGGATTTCATTTGATTTAGCTAAGTCATCCCACAAGTTATATTGACGTATCATTTCTTCCAGTTTAATGCAGCTTGCTTCTTCAAGTTCCAATGCTGTTGGTGCCAATGTCTCAGCACGAAGAACCACATCTTCAATCTTCTTTCTTAAAGAGAACATACCTGAGAAAAACTCCAATATTATTGCCAGCTCAAAATATGAAATAACTAAGTATTCACATATGTAATTAATCATTGGAAAACATGGAACAAACAGATTCCCTTGGATAAGATACAGTTCATGCATACAAAAGTGAACAAAAACTTATCACTAAGTAGCCCAATTAAAGTTGTGTTGAATAGGTGTTTCCAAACCTTGTGATTGGTATACAAAAATCCAATAAAACTTGCTACTAGGGGTGGCCATCAACCCAACCGGGTTTACGCCTGGATTGCACTACTTAATAAGAAATTTTGTGTCTACCCAAGCCAAGCCCAAACTTGGGCTAGCCGCAGTTGGTTAGGAGTTATAAAAAATTAACATAGTGGTTCGAACAACTAATTAATCCTAAAAAAATTCAATATTAAAAGGTTCGTTCTCCCAAAAAAGAGGTTATTAATGCACATAGTAAGAGAAGTGACCGTGTAATGAATTTATCAAGCTTAAATACTTTCATTTACAAAAGATTTAATTTTTAGAGTGGTGTTTTTACTATTATTTTAATTTTTTTATTCCAAGTTAGGTTTTTAGGAAGCAGATTTAAGTCCGAATTTGGCATTACTACCCAAGGTAGAAATATTCCCATCCCATGTATCTATAAATTCTCTTGCAGCCTTGCAGGGTTCATAGTCATAGAGGACATGAAACAAACTCATTCCCCTCAACCTATTGAAATTTGAAATACATGACCCAACATTTGCATGTAGAAGATGCACCTAGACTTCTAGATTTATCAATGCAAATCACTGGCCCCTCTCCTCCCCTTGCCCTCTTCACTTTCTAGTATTCTACTCTTGCATATGCAAGTGTCTCCCTCTAATATTCTCCCCTTTTTCCTCTATGCTCCATCATTTGTTGAATTTCCTTTTCTTTGCAAGAACAAGTGGTTCAATCCAACATGGCATCTCCAACAAAAGGGATTATCCAATGTAATCTTTGAAGTGTAAGTAACCCTCCGAAAATCTTTACACTTTAGTGCCTAGCAACATCCACACTCTTTGAGAGATTTTCTCAAACACTTGACGTATAAGTAGAAATCCATCCCAATTAGGCCTACCCATTTCAAACTTGTGTACCCAAAGTGAACTTTCAGAAATTTAAAAAACGAACTTCAATATAAAACATGGAATTAATACACTGGGTCCAACTCAATCCAAAAATTGACACCCAACAAAGAAGAAAAGAATAAACAGATAAAGACCAAACAATTTACAAGTGCCTAGCAACATCCACATACGAAAAGAAACAGTCATTGAGAGATTTTCTCAAACACTTGACATATAAGTACAAACCCATCTCAATTCATTGGCATTCATGCCACCCATTTCAAATTTGTGTACAACAAGTGAACTTTCAGAAATTCAAAAAATGAATTTCAATATAAAACATTGGTCCAACTCAATCCAAAAGCAAATGAGAGAAAGGAGACAAACCCAGTTCTTTGTAGACCTTGTTCTTGTCCTCCATAGGCTGAGAAGCTCGAATTGTTGATGATTGAAATGGGCAAGCATTGAATTTGAAACTTCTTGAAGCTTTCCATTTTGGGGTGAATGAAGCATTTGAATCAACTGTCCATACAGATACTGATTCAGCAGCTATTGTAGCCATGGAAGAGCAACCGAGTCACTCTTCTCTTCGAAGCTCGACGGTGTTTCGGCCTGCAACTCCGCCAATCTGCTTTTCAATTTTTCATTTTTATTTTTCAAATACACAAACAAGAGGGCGTGCAGTGGCCACGAACACAGAAATAGAGAGAGACTCTGCTATGCTAGGGTGCACAAATTAAACATAATCCCACAACCCAATCAATTTAATTTCTATGGCCTTCTCTGATAAGTTGGTTATTTTAATTAGTTATTTTAATTTTTGATTATTTTAATAGGTTAAAATTTTTGTGTTTCAGAAGAAGGTTAAATTTTTTGTGATTAGATGTGATGTTTATGAAAAAAAAAATGAAATAATTATTAATTTAATGTGATATTTTATCTTATTAATTATTTTAACATATTTTACTTCTTTTTTTTTTTTGGTGAATTTTAACTTAAAAAGCCAATTTTTACCTCCCTTGTTTGTTTGTTTTGTTTTAAAAAATCATCAATGATAAGATTGTATTGGTTCTTACTTCAATCCAAACCTACATATATATTATTTAAATTTGGCAGTAGCCTTCCTCCCGTCTCAGATTAAACTAGAAAGTATTATTGGTTTATGGGGTTCATTACAAGTTCCGTTTTAATAATTCAAACAGTTTAATATGTAGAACTTGTCGAGTACTATATGTTTATAAAAACAATTCAATATGTAGAACTTGTCAAGTACTATATGTTTATAAAAAATCATATTGATCGGATATCGATAGCTATCTCATCGGATCAGTTTTCTATCAACTGTTATTATTTTTTCACCGTCCATTTTTTTTTTTATATAAAACTGATTTGATTACATAACTAACGATATCCGATTAATGTGATTTTTTACATGCATATAGTACTTGACAATTCTATATATTGAACAATTTAGATTATCTAAACGGGACCTATGGTGAGCCCTTACGGTCCCAACAATACTCTTCAATTTGATCTGAAACTAGAGGAAAGCTATGCCACTATTTATTTTGAACCAAGTATTTTATAGTATTTTTTTTTTTTTTTTTAGAGCTCGTTTGAAAAGTCCATCTAAGCTAAAATAGTTATATAAGACAAAATATAATATTTTAGTTAAATATGACAAAATATCACATCCAACTCATAATCATTTTATTTTTTTTCTCATAAAAGTTAAAAAAGTTAAAAATCTATCCCAAACGAAACTTTGTAACTCCAGACTAAAATAATCAAAAAGTCCAAAAACAAACTCACATTATTGAATTTAATTTATTTATTCTAATTAAAAAAACAGAATAAATTTTGAATAATATGTGTTTAAGAGGAATGATGATTAATGTGTGTTTAGTATTAATTAGGGCAAATTACATATACACCATTCCAGGTTTGACAAAATTACAGATACCCTCTGAGGTTTGAGAAATTACGAATTCCCCCCTGAATGCTATATTTGCATAAGAAATTAGGGGTAATTTGTTATGAAATATAAACCTCAGGGGGTAAATTGTTATGAAAATACAAACCTCAGGGAGCGGGATGTAATTTCCGAAACCTCAGGGAGTATCTGTAATTTAACCAAACCTGGAGGGGTGTATATGTAATTTGCCCTATTAATTAATTTACTTATTTTCTACATTAGATTAGCATGTCTCAAATTAGAAATCTATATTTGATCAGGATGAGATTGAGATCGAGAATCGGGTGTCTCGAAAGACCAACATCACTTCTAAAGCAACATCACATTCGCAAAAACCTACGTGACCTCGCTCGCCAGCTTTTTTGTCAAAACCAAACGAACATTCTATTTCAACTTTAAAAATTATTTTAATTTGTACAATTTAAATTTTAAAATTTAAATTTTTATTATATTATGTAAATTTATTAATAAAGATAATATATATTAAATTTTAAAATAAAATATTAAGTTCTGTTTGGTAGAGTTTCCAAACTTTAGTTCTACCCTTTGTTTTCAACGTGGTGTTTATTTACAGCTTTCAAAAATTAAATCCACACTCACTTTTGAAAACTCTGGCCAAGGCAGGAAAATTTGAACTGACCGGTCGTCCCACCAGACGTCCTACCGGACGTTCCACAAGTCGTCCGGCCAGTTAACCGGAACAGTGCATATAAAAATATTTTCTGAATATTTTAAATTTTTTTTATGAGTTTTGAATATAATTTTGAGTTTTGTGTTTGGTTATGAGTTGTAAGTTTTTGTATCAAATATCATATGCTACATTAAAAATTCCCCACTCAATTCAAAATTCTTTTCAAAACCCATTCACCAAATAAATTTTCCACACTCAAACCATAATTTCAAAACTCGCAAACTCAAAATACAACTTTATTCTCAAATCATATTTAGAAAATTCTACCAAGCGCAACCTTAGTCTGTCGAACTATTTTTATTTATTTTTTTATTTTTTACATGTTAGGATTTTTTTTTTTGTTGTTGTATTTTTTTTAAAGTAAAAATCATTGCCTCATTCGTTTTCTATCAAAGCTCACTCTTATCATCAACATTATTATTTTTTATTATATTATTACTTGTAAATAGAATAAAATTTGAATAAAATCATGGGCAAATTACATATACACCCCTCCAGGTTTGGTTAAATTACAGATACCCCCCTGAGGTTTCGGAAATTACATCCCGCCCCCTGAGGTTTGTATTTTCATAACAATTTACCCCCTGAGGTTTATATTTCATAACAAATTACCCCCTAATTTCTTATGCAAATATAGCATTCAGGGGGGAATTCGTAATTTCTCAAACCTCAGGGGGGTATCTGTAATTTAACCAAACCTGGAGGGGTGTATATGTAATTTGCCCTAAAATTCAAACAATATGGATAAAAGTAATAATCAAAACAGTTTTTTAAAATAATCCATCAAAGAGGAGGAAAGTATTCATATAAATATCAAAGTACAATTATTGATTTCTGTATTTTTTATTTTTTTTCCATAAAAATGAATATTCAATTTGTTTTTTGTCAATATTGTTCGGATTTTTAGAACTAAACAAATTCACTTGGTTCAGTTCTAGAAGTTTGAACGCAAAGTTCACCCTTTTTTTCTTCTTCGCCTTCACCGTTTTTCTTTACTATTCTCCTTCGTTAGTGCCGGATTCTATGGTCGTGTTCCTTATATATACGAGAACAAAACAAAGATTTTTTAAAAATAATTTGAATTTTTAAATTTATTTTATTGGGGTGTATCTCAAAAGGATAATTGAGAACAAAAATAGTGTGTACTGAAAATAAATTATAATCTTAAATAATTTAATAGGATGTACTGAAAAATTAAACTCACTTAAACATTTTCTAAATGTAAATAGAATTTAAACATTTTAAATTTTAAAATAAAATATTAAGTTCTGTTTGGTAGAGTTTCCAAACTTTAGTTCTACCCCTGATTTTGAATGTGATATTTGTTTACAGTTTTCAGAAAGTAATTACACACTCAGTTTTGAAAACTTTATCCAAGACGAAAAAATTTGGGCTAACCGGTCGTCCAGCCGGTTGACAGGAACAGTGTATAATTTTATTTTTTTATGGCAATTGACACATGTTAATTTTTATATATTTATTTTCGAATTTTTTAAAATTTTTTATGAGTTTTGACTAGAATTTGAGTTGTGTGTTTGGTTATGAGTTGTAAGTTTTTGTATCAAATATCATATGTCACATTAAAAATTTCCCACTCAATTCAAAACTCATTTCAAAACTCATTCATCAAACAAATTTTTCACACTCAAATCATAATTTAAAAATTGACAAACTCAAAATACAACTCTATTCTAAAATCATATTTTGAAAATTCTACCAAACGTAACCTTAATTTTTCTCATGATATACCCTAATCAATTATGCACATTCTTTTCATTCACATCACTTTATGTTCTTTCTTAAGTTTCAATTATTTTCTCTTATTCTTCATTACTCAAAAACTCCAATTCATTCTATCAAAGCTCACTCTTATCATCAACATTATTATTTTTTATTATATTATTACTTGTAAATAGAATAAAATTTGAATAAAATCAAACAATATGGATAAAAGTAATAATCAAAACAGTTTTTTAAAATAATCCATCAAAGAGGAGGAAAGTATTCATATAAATATCAAAGTACAATTATTGATTTCTGTATTTTTTATTTTTTTTCCATAAAAATGAATATTCAATTTGTTTTTTGTCAATATTGTTCGGATTTTTAGAACTAAACAAATTCACTTGGTTCAGTTCTAGAAGTTTGAACGCAAAGTTCACCCTTTTTTTCTTCTTCGCCTTCACCGTTTTTCTTTACTATTCTCCTTCGTTAGTGCCGGATTCTATGGTCGTGTTCCTTATATATACGAGAACAAAACAAAGATTTTTTAAAAATAATTTGAATTTTTAAATTTATTTTATTGGGGTGTATCTCAAAAGGATAATTTGAGAACAAAAATAGTGTGTACTGAAAATAAATTATAATCTTAAATAATTTAATAGGATGTACTGAAAAATTAAACTCACTTAAACATTTTCTAAATGTAAATAGAATTTAAACATTTTAAATTTTAAAATAAAATATTAAGTTCTGTTTGGTAGAGTTTCCAAACTTTAGTTCTATCCCTGGTTTTGAATGTCATATTTGTTTCCAGTTTTCAGAAAGAAATTTCACACTGAGTTTTGAAAACTTTGTCCAAGACGAAAAAATTTGGACTAACCGGTCGTCCAGCCGGTTGACCGGAACAGTGAATAATTTTATTTTTTATTTTTTATGGCAATTGACACATGTTAATTTTTATATATTTATTTTCGAATTTTTTAAAATTTTTTATGAGTTTTGACTAGAATTTGAGTTGTGTGTTTGGTTATGAGTTGTAAGTTTTTGTATCAAATATCATATGTCACATTAAAAATTTCCCACTCAATTCAAAACTCATTTCAAAACTCATTCATCAAACAAATTTTTCACACTCAAATCATAATTTAAAAATTGACAAACTCAAAATACAACTCTATTCTAAAATCATATTTTGAAAATTCTACCAAACGTAACCTTAATTTTTCTCATGATATACCCTAATCAATTATGCACATTCTTTTCATTCACATCACTTTATGTTCTTTCTTAAGTTTCAATTATTTTCTCTTATTCTTCATTACTCAAAAACTCCAATTCATTCTATCAAAGCTCACTCTTATCATCAACATTATTATTTTTTATTATATTATTACTTGTAAATAGAATAAAATTTGAATAAAATCAAACAATATGGATAAAAGTAATAATCAAAACAGTTTTTTAAAATAATCCATCAAAGAGGAGGAAAGTATTCATATAAATATCAAAGTACAATTATTGATTTCTGTATTTTTTATTTTTTTTCCATAAAAATGAATATTCAATTTGTTTTTTGTCAATATTGTTCGGATTTTTAGAACTAAACAAATTCACTTGGTTCAGTTCTAGAAGTTTGAACGCAAAGTTCACCCTTTTTTTCTTCTTCGCCTTCACCGTTTTTCTTTACTATTCTCCTTCGTTAGTGCCGGATTCTATGGTCGTGTTCCTTATATATACGAGAACAAAACAAAGATTTTTTAAAAATAATTTGAATTTTTAAATTTATTTTATTGGGGTGTATCTCAAAAGGATAATTTGAGAACAAAAATAGTGTGTACTGAAAATAAATTATAATCTTAAATAATTTAATAGGATGTACTGAAAAATTAAACTCACTTAAACATTTTCTAAATGTAAATAGAATTAAGAGAAATTTTAGTCAAAAAATAAAATAACTAATTAGCCTAAATGTTTAAACATGGAAATAATAGAAGAAACATAAAATTATTAAAAATAAAAATATTGAGTGAAGCATAAATTTGAATAATAAAAAGTATTACAAACTTGTCAAAATAAGCGACTTTAAAGACTAACATTCCTAAACAGAGTTATTGCTAAAATAATGAAATCTGTTCAAAATCCAGCTTAGATCACAGAAAATTGAGGAGTTTGCTTCAATGGAGCATTTACAATTAGGAATGGCAACGGGGCGGGGCGGGGCCGGGGACCCCCCTCCCCGTCCCCGATCCCCGATGGCCAAAACTTCCCCGTCCCCAGCCCCGATCCCCGACGGGGAACCTGTCACAGTCCCCATCCCCGTCCCCAACGGGGATCGGGTTTCCCCGACCCCGAAAAGTCCCCGATCCAACTCTGTTTCAACATTCAACAACATCAACAGATAAAAAAAAAAAAAAAAGAATAACAGATCATCAAAAAAAAAAAACAGATCTGTTTCAACATTCAAATTTCAACATCATCAACATAGATCAACAAAAAAAATAACAGATCAAAAAAAAAAAATTTACAGAACATTAGATCAAAAAAAAAAATTTACAGATCATCAGATCAAAAAAAAAAAATACAGATCATCAGATCAAAAAAAAAATTACAGATCATCAGATCAAAAAAAAAAATTACAGATCATCAGATCAAAAAATCAATAACAAATAAAAAAAAGAATAACAGATCTTACAGATCTGAGCTGATGAGGGCGGCGGAGGAGGATATCGACGGAGGAGGGCGGCGGTGGAGATCGGCGAGGGAGATTGGCGATGGAGATCGACGATGTGCTACACTCCATTAGATCTACCGTGGCGACGGAGGAGGAGGCTGTAGTGGCCTGGAGAAGGAGGAGAAGGAGGTGGTGGCTTGGAGGAGGCTCCTGCGTCTGTGTCTGTGTGAAGAGAAGAGAAGAGAGAGAGTGAGAGAAGAGAAGAGAGTGTGAGTGAGATAGAGCTTCTGCTGCTGAGTTATTCAACAAACAGGGGTTGAAATATATTTAATATAATATATAAATATAATATAATATAATATATAAATATAATAGAGAGTGTGAGATAGAGCATGTCAGAGTGTAACATATATATAATATATATATAAATCGGGGGGCTGACCGGGGCAGGGGGCGGGGCCGGGGCGGGCCGGGGATGAAATTTATATCACCGTCCCCGGCCCGAATGTCACCGGGGATTTATTTTTGAATACCATCCCCGGCCCGTCGGGAGTATTTTTCGGGGAAAAACCATTCTTATCGGGGACGGGGGGTCGGGTCCCCGTCGGGCCGGTTTCAGATTGCCATCCCTACAAATACCTAAGAGCATCATCAACACTCACGTATCTCCAACTCACTATGCTCAACACACCCAACCCCACCTTCTCCACCACCATCTTCCCAGCAAGCACTCTCTCCCTTTCCCCCTAACCCTAACCCTAACCTCAAATCCGCCACCAACCCACTTGTCCCCACCCCGGAACAGCAACCGGGCGACGGAAGCTCCTCCGAGAACCACCACCCATCACTTCCTCTCCCCCTACACTCCATCATAGTGAAAACCCCTTTATACCCTTCCAAAACCACATTCCATGCAAGCCTCAACCCACCTAAATCATCATCACCCACCAATATTTTCTCACCATCAACATCGATATCAAATCGAAACATGTCATTAGGATCGGTTTTGAGTTCCGCTCCCAGTTTTAAGACAGTGAAAACGCGTGAATTGTTGTTGTGGACGTCGATGGTGAACATGAGATTGTTGAGAGACAAATGTGGTTTTCTGGGTTTCTGAAGGCGGCGCTTGGCGGATATGCGGCCTAGAGCGTAGAGGTGGTGGTAAGGCACGGTGGAGTCGGCGAAATGGAGGGTGGAGAGGGAGGGGAAGTGGGTGGAGCAAATGGGTTGCCAGAGATGGTCTGAGGACATGGAAATGAACCATGATTTGGAGACACAAGAGGCTATGGCTAGGATTTTGGGGTCGAGGTGGTTGGCAACAAGAACAAGGACCTGCCATGGAGGAGAGGAGGAACCAGAAGTTCCCATTGTGTTCGGTTTGGTTGTTTTCCAAAAAAAAAAATGTTAAAAGCAGTTTTGTGTTTGGTGTGTTTGTTCGGTTATATGTGTGTCAATCTTTTGTGGGAGTGACACCTCATTGTAAAACCAATTAACGCACAATATCAAGCCACTTGTGAAAAATAGGATTGTGCAAGAAAAGAAAAAAAATTACAAACTAATAAAAAATGGTAAACCAATCTTATCCGGGTCGAATTGCACAGTTTGATTAGTTTTTTCATTGAATAGTTTGATATTAATTCTTAAAATAGGTGAGTTGTATATTATGATTTAATCTATAGTTTATAGTTAAACATTTAAAATCGAATCAAATCATTTAAATATATCTATACTATTATATATGTGAGCACCTGCCGATATCTAATAGTGTGGTGATTTTTTCTTCTGTCACGTGGCAACACATGACTTGATATCTAATAGTGTGGTGGCTTCTCCTTTTGTCACGTGACAAATTTTACTATCTTAAGATAAAAAAATATTATTTAAAGGCGTGAGCAAAATTTAAACTAAAGACCTTGAGTTTTATTAAAAACACTCTTACCTTTTAGACAATATACATATTATGATATTAATTTCTTTATTATTTGTATGTATACTTACTTATCTAAATTGCACGCACATTGCGTGTGCCCCCACCCACTAGTTTATATATCATAACACTTAAAAAATTTATTAATATTAAATATATTCATAAATTGTAACCTTTCACCTTCACAAGCATGTATTTTATAATAAAATAAGTAATTCTAAATAATTCTTAACTTATTAAAAATATTTTGTGATCATATTGTAAATAATAACAATAACTTTGAAACTCATAATTTTAAATTGAACCAAATCACGTTTTACTGGTTCATCTAATTTAATTCTAAATTTCATAAAACTCTAAGTAATGATTTAATCTTTAATTTATTTTTAAACTCAATCAATTCATGCTCACCTCTAACTACAAGTGTTTAAAACAACAATAAAACTTAAGGTGCTGTTATGGTGTGCAACCCCGTAAGGTTGCACACCATATGCAATCAATATAAAAAGTATAAATGGAAGGTGTAAACATAGAACAGGACAGCAAACAGAAAGACGTAAGTGTAAGGTGTAAGTTGCATTCTTAAGAAAAGTCCTAAAACTTTGGTTTGAGATGTCCTAAAAAAGTGCACTTTTTGACTTATTGGTGGGTTTGGGTTGGGTTTGATGTGATGTGTTAGAGAGGTGATGTGATTTAAATAAGATGATGTGACTTAAATAAGATAGTGACTTTTTGACTTTTTGACTTATTTAGTACATGCCAAACTAGCCCTATTCGAGGGGCTAACGAGGTCGGGGCCGGGGCGGGGGGTGAAAAACATATCACCGTCCCCAACCCGAAAATCATCGGGGATTTATTTTTGAGTACCATCCCCGGCCCGTAGGGGATATTTTTCGAGGAAAAATTGCTCTACTCAGGGTCGGGGGGTCGGGTCCCCGTCGGGCCAGTTTCAAATTGCCATCCCTATTGGTACAATACATGTGCAATTTAAATAAATAAAAATAAAATAAAATAAAATATTTACAATATATTAAATATTATGTATCACTTAAGTGATAAAAAAGTATTCTTCAATAGACCCATGAGATTCAAGTCCCACTTCACCCATCAATTTAATTCTTTTGAGTTATTTAAAAAAATAACAGACACTGACATCTAATTTTAATATTATTATTAATAGTATAAATGCCAAGAAAGTCAAGTCATTCCTTTTTAGGCTGTACAAAATATCATTTAATTCGTCAAAATTATACTGATCCGATATATCACTTAAGTGATAAAAAAGTATTCTTCAATAGACCCATGAGATTCAAGTCCCACTTCACCCATCAATTTAATTCTTTTGAGTTATTTAAAAAAATAACAGACACTGACATCTAATTTTAATATTATCATTAATAGTATAAATGCCAAGAAAGTCAAGTCATTCCTTTTTAGGCTGTACAAAATATCATTTAATTCGTCAAAATTATACTGATCCGCATCAATTCGTACCATTCTAACTGTTAACCGTAGTTTAAACTTTAAAATTTATAATCAGTCTTTCAAACCGTTCTGTTCCGCTATAGTTAATATATATATATTTTTTAACTTCCAATGAAATATCAATGTAAAAATGAATGTGAAAGAGATTTAAGATATGAAATTTATTACAAATTAGTAATTATATATATGAAACATATTATGTAAAATTATTTTGTGTTATATGTATAAAAAATATAATATAAATTAGTGTTATATATTATGTAAATATATGATAATTAGTTAGAATATTTTTCAATCCATCAAAAATTATCCAAATCACAAATTATCAATCCGTTAATCCGTCAATTCATAATTTAATTTGTAATTTTACTCTCAAATCGCTCGAAGCACACAACACACACCCCATTCCTTTATTCTAGAGTGAGCTCAAACCTATTTGCGCCCCAAGGCAATAAATCTAAATGAGATTTTTAATAATTTTTTACATTGTATTTTTTTTATACTATAATTTTATTTAAAATTCCTAACATGCCCAATCAAAACAATTTATTTATTTATTCTCTTTTATTATTTACATGAGACCCCAGAAAAAGGGTCAAACATATTTTTTTTCCACGATTTATTTAACATGTATTGATTTAATTAGTTTTCAACACTACCAAAGCACAATTAATACTAAAAAAAATATATATAGTAAGAAACTATGATCCTAAAAAAATGTGGATAAACCCAAAATACAAAATAAGACCCATTAGTAAGGTCGGTAGTAAAAAATTTAAAAAATCATAATAAATTATCATATCATCCCTTTTATTTTTTTTATGTGTCTTTCATAAAAATTTAAAATAGACAAATGGCAAGACCTCTGTAATAACAATTGCGGTAGAACTAATAGATAAGAGTTACATATCAGAGGGCAAAAGAAAATGCTGCAAGTACCTAAGATTAGGGAGGTAAGAAAAATCGAAAAAAAGTGACCACACCGAGTGAATCGAAATAAATTGGCTATATTTGATCTGTTTTTTAATAAGAATCGGTTTGTGCGGTTTTTAAATTTGATTTTTTTTCAGTTTTCGATTCGGTATCGGTTTAAGCACCTTGTGCACCGATCCAAACCGAAACCAACCGGTTCAACATATATTGTATTTATAATATATATATATATATATGTCTATAATCTAATAATATAATGATATTAATAAATATAATAAATTATTAACCTTAATTAATTAACTTTATCATCTTTATAAACTAAGTTTGTAAACTCTTATTATATATAATCTTAACTCTAACTCGTTATTCTTGAAACCTTAGTATTTTTAAACTTTTTTTGTTTTTATTTTTGTTAATTTAGGAATTGAAAAGTATGTATTAAATGGATGGATTGAATATGTTTGAAATGGTGAACAAATAACTAATTTAATATTTTTATTTTTACATAGATTAATTATTATATTTAAAAGTGACATAGGTTTGAAAAATCCTAAACTAATTAAACCGCACCAAACCGAATTGTTTCAATCGGTTCAGTTCGGTGCGGTTTGATGGGAGAAGCAGTCTGTATCGGTGTTCAAAATAATAAAACCGACATTATCGATTCAGTGTAATTTTTTACCTAAATATCGACCGTACTGAACCAATTACATCCCTACCTAAGAGCATCATCAACAATCACATATCTCAAACTCACTATGCTCAACACACCCACTACCACCTTCTCTACCACCACCAGCACTCTCTCCTCCCTTTCCCCCTAATGCTAACCTCAAAACTGCCACCAACCCACTCATCCCCACCCTAGAACAACAACTTGGCGACGAACGCTCCTCCAAGAATCACCAATCATTTTCATTGCCTCTACAGGCCATCATAGTGAAAGCCTCTTTAAATCCTTCCAAAACCATATTCCATGCAAGTCTCAACCCAACTAAATCATCATCGCTATAACGCCCCAAAAATAATAACCATAATTCATATCGCGATATTAATTAAAAAACAACACAATTCTGAATATAATATCCTTTCATTCATATGATCTTATTGTACAAAAGGTAACACATGCAGTTATACATTCATAATCTTTAACTCTGAATCTATAGCATGTGCCACAAGTTACTGGTACGAAATAAAAGTTAAACAAATACATAAATTCCCTAATGGCTACAACTCTCCAAGACAATACTTGGCTACACTAAAAGTGAGTTTAAACTCAATACAAATAAAACCCTAGGTTTGCACAAAATAAATATAACAAAAATAAAACAAGAAGCTCTCGGCTCTAAGTTCTCCCAAGCTATGGCCTTGGCAGAGGCATATCATCAGTATCTGAAAATAGTTTTCCACATAGGATAAGCCAAAGCCCAATAGAGATACTCTAATACAATGTATGAATCTTAATAAAGTTATAAGGTGAATGCATATGTAATGCTCGTGTCAAAACGTTTTATATCTCTTTCCAAAACTATGCAATGCTAGATTATATCACATTCATAAAATCATTTCCTTTACAATAGAAAATAGGGTAATGGATACAATATTGGGAATCTCTACGTACGTGCCTGCAAGTAGGCTATACAAACATTACCATTTGTCATTTTTACCGGTACTAACCGGAAGGCTCGGTATCTAACCGCGCGGGTTTTTAAACTTTTATCAAGAACACACATGCCAACAATAATACCACAACCACACCCCTTACCCAGATTCACTAAGGTATTCACTCTTTTTTCTCAAAACAATGTACATTTTCAATGTGTCAAATATGCAACAATGCAAATGGATGAGAAATTAGTTTCAATTCTTCTAGTTCTCATGCTATTTCTATAATAATCATAATTATCCCCCACCGATAACCCAAAATAGATATCTCCAAACAGATAGATAATTTCTAATAAAGATAAATTTTTCAAAATTTCAAGACGGGAGTGATAATACATATCCAACTCAATCATCATCATCATCATCATTCCAATTCCATAAAACCCAACATCATTTCTATTTCTTTTTTACAAAATCAAATACTTGCAATTTAGGGAAAAAAATCTCCTTTCCTTTATAAATCAATTCCAACGATAAAAATTCACAATTTTATCACAACTTAACCAAATTTACAAACCCACAATCATTTTCAAGAAACCATTTTGAAAACCACTTTCTTGATTTCAAAACCAAAACCCTAAGTTTATCCAAAAATTCCCAAATCACAATATTGTTTAAAAAAACAAATAACCAAATTAAAAACCATACAAAACTATGAAGAAATCTCTATCTCAAAACTAGAAGACAAGGGACAGCAAGCACAAAACTTGGCGAACCCAAAAGTGAACTTTGCTCTAATCAAATGGAAGCTCCAAGCAAGCTCCACCCTTTTTTCCCAAAGGACAATGGTGTAGAAACTAATAGATTAAGAGTATTTGGAGGTTGAAGATGAGTTTTAGAGAGAGAAGGTCTAGATTTAAGATTTTGAAATGTTTAGAGAGAGAGAGAGAGAGATATGAAAAAGTGACTCAAAAAGTGAGTTTTACGAATTAATATATGCGCAGACCGCTCGAGTGACCAAAACACTGCTCGAGTGACCAGATACAATAAGTGAGACTGCTCGAGCGAACAAAGTGACCGCTCGAGCAAAGAATACCACATTCCCAGTACTTTTACAGGCCTGCAAAAGTATTGAGAGTTCCTAAAGACTGCTCGAGCCAAGACTGCTCGAGTGCAAGAAACACTGTTCGAGCGAAAAACACTATCCTCCCAGTACTTTTGCGGACCTGCAATTATACTGGAAGTTTTCAAAGACCACTTGAGCGAACTAATAAAAATCTAGGCAAAGACTCCTTTGAAAAACAAACTCTTAACATGTTTCAAACGCAACCACAATACTCAAACAACCTAATTCAACAAGGAATAAAATGAACAAGGATATAAACAACCAGCTAAAACATCTGGATCCAAAACAATAAACGAGTTGGGTCTAAACCAGAATCTTTATAATCACCCACCAAGATTTTCTCACCATCAACATCAATATCACACCGAAACACCCCATTAGGATTGGTTTTGAGTTTTGCTCCAAGTTTTATGACAGTGAAAACGCGTGAATCATTGTTGTGGATGTTAATGGTGAACATGAGATTGTTGAGAGATAAACGGGGGTTTTATGAGTTTTTGGAGGCGGCACTTGGCAGAGATGTGGCCGAGAGCGTAGAGGTAGTGGTAAGGCACGACAGAGTAGGTGGAACGGAGGGTGGAGAGGGAGGGTAAGTGGGTGGAGCAAATGGGTTGCAAAAGATGGTCTGAGGACAGGGAAATGAACCATGGCTTGGAGAAACATGAGTCTATGGCTAGGGTTTTGGGGTCACGGTGATTGGCAACAAGAACAAGGCCTTGATATGAAGGAGGGGAGGGACTAGATGAAGGTCTCATCAAACACATTGGATTTGATTTGTTTGTGTTTGAAAATACTAAAAGCAGTTTTGCTTTTGGTGTTTGTTCGGTTATATATGTGTAGGTTGATTTAGCTTTTGTTTTGAGTTTGAGTTTCAATGGGTAAGGCATGTTGTTGTGTTGTGTGTTTGAATGGTTATGAGAGGCCACGTATGGTTTAGGTTGTCCTATGATGCTTGGTGGGTTTGTGATACGTATACGGGTGGATTGCATGGTTCTATGTGGGTCAGAGCATTTAGTAAAGTTCTTAAAATTATTTTTATTCAATTTTGATGGATTTTGTTTTAATTTTTTTTATTTATATTTTTAAGATGTTTAGTCCCTATTTTTTTTTAAAAATAATTGAAAAAAGTTTGACAAAGTGTTATCGCAAATTTTTAAATGAAAGATAATGGTAATCAGTTTAGTCCAGAGATGATGACAAATAGAAATTTGTGTGAAATGGAGAAAATAGAAATCTGATTGGATCGTTGTGAAGGGAAAAGAAAATTGAACGAAAAAGTAAGAGAAAAGCGAATGAAGTAGAAACTACTTTTTTTTTCTCTTTCCTCTCACAAATTCAAGATTCAAACACAATATAAAGACTTCACACCCTAAAGAATTGATTGATAGTACAAAATGTAGTGTAACAAGCACACCAAGATGTAGCAGATTAGGGAAAAACTGGCCTCCAGAACATATCATGAAGAAGACAATTACCCAAAAGAATATCATGAAGAAGAGAATCAGAGCACAAAACAGAACAATGAAAAAAAAAAACTAAAACGACATCAGTTGTTAACTTCACAAAATAATGAGCACAAAAAACATCAACAATTAAGTTCCAACAAACATCAAGTTCGAGTTCCACAAAATTACCACAATCGGGTAAAGTATATGAACTAATCAGCAATTAACATTAACAATTCACTTCCTCTGAATCCTAGTTTGGGTCTCTGATCTGTAGTTATGAATATGAATGAATGAAATCAGCAATCCAACTTAACTATAGACTAGGAAAATCAGATGAAAATGTAATCATTCCATTTTGTTTTAGCATAGCATTATGAAATGACATTCTCTTTTATATCAAATGCAGAATATGCCAATGTGATATCAAGCATGGATTGTCCAAACAACTTCAAGAACCGACTCATAGGTGTTAGATTTGAGCCTACAAAGAACAAAGTTCATTGTCTACAATTGTTCAACATTTTTAAAACTATGATGCTAAAGTTCAACATGACAAGAATATTAATACATGAACAAATCCAAGAATCAGTTAACGAACAAAAAGTGTAGAGAATGCATACCCATAGCTGCAGTGCTGCCTATGTTCTACCATTCCCAGAACCTTATCTTGGTCGACAATTCATAACTTTTTCATTTTGCAATATTTCATCTTTTGCTTTTTCAATATTTAATAGACCAATCACCATCAACTACCAGTAATCTCTACATGAACAAGAGCCATCCTTGAAGGAGTGAAATCGACTTCTATCTCTCACCACTATCTCCAATCCATAAACCTTAGAAATCAGATTCATTACGATATGACAGTCCTTGCAAACCCTCAAATTCTTCACTATTCTAATAACACTTCCCTTGCACAATCTTGCGATCCCAAAAGCAACAGCAAGCTTCTCACTGTGCTTAGACAAAGAATCTTCCTTTTCCTCTGCCTCTATGTCATGCAAAACATTCCCAACCTCGGGAACATAACCACCTTCAACCCTAAGCTTCAACATTATTTCCCTTAATTTTTGATAAGCCTCTTCGGTAATCTTATTTTGCTTTTGACCCGCCACAAAACTATACATGACCTTGTCGACTTCAATCATGCTCCAACCAGGAATTTTCTTCAACCTCTGGTCAGTCATAGATCTTCTCACGGTCGCAACATGTTTCCATTTCCCTGCAACAGCGTAAATATTTGATAACAAAACATGGTCACTAGAATTGTTGGGATCAAGCTCGGAAAGCCTTTCCTTCACTTGCTCAGCCAATTCAACGTCGTTATGAATGCTGCAAGCACCAAGGAGAGTCCTCCAAATAATGGCATTGTGTGATATTGGCATTTGAATTACAAATTCATAAGCCTTTTGAAGCTGACCAGCTCGGCCATAGAGATCAACCATACAACCATAATGCTCAATTGCTGGTTCTATTCCATAAATTTCCCTCATTTTAGAAAAATATCCACATCCTTCTTCAATTAATCCTGCATGACTACAAGCATACAAGATTGAAATGAATGTGATGCCATCAGGTCTAACTCCAGACTTCTCCATCTTGTCGAAAATTTTCATTGCTTCTTCACCATACCCTTGCATTGCAAGCCCTGCCATCATCGAAGTCCAAGAAACAAGGCTTTTCTTTCCTGGCATTCGTTCAAAGACCAAACGGGCCATACCCACATTCCCACATTTAGAGTATGTATCTAAGAGTGCATTATTCACAGAACTGATCCAAACTAACCCAGCTTTATCAATATATCCATGGAGGATTTTCCCGAATTCGAATGCCCCGGCTTGTGCACAGGCAGAGAGAACTCCCGTCAAGCTAGCCTCATTCGGTCTAATTCCAACATGCTGAAGCTCTCTGAACAAACCAAAAGCCTCATCGAAACAACCATTATGAGCACACCCAACTATCATAGTACTCCAAGAAACATCATCTTTTATGGGCATCTCAAGAAACAATTTCTTTGCAAGCCCAATCTCACCCTTTTTCACATACCCCCCAAGCATTACATTCCACGACATCAAATTCCTAATTGGCATTCGATCAAACAAGTTCTCAGCACCCTTTACATCATCACACCTAAAACAAGCAGTAACAACAGCATTCCACGCAACGACATTTGGTTGAAACATTTCATCAAACACCTTCCTTGCAGAAACAACACACCCACATTCAGCATACATAATAATCAGAGTAGTCCCAACAAAAAGATGGGTATCGAGCCCGTGAACCAGAGCTTGACAATGGAGCTGAAACCCAGCTCTCAAACACCTCAAATTCGCAGCTGCTTTGACAACGAAGGCGAAAGAGAAGCTATCGGGAGGTAATTCCAATTTTCGACGCATTTGAATGAACGTGAGGAGGGAGTTTTGTGGGGAATCGGTCTCGGAAAGTCCTCGGATGAGGGTATTGTACATGAAAACATCTGGGTTTGGTGTGTGGAGGAAGAGAAGGCGAGCGTAGTCGAGAGAGTCAAAGATTGATATAGCACAGTGGAGGAGGAGCTTTCCGGAGAAGTATGGATGGGTGTCGAGGCCGGTCTTGCAAGCGTGGGCTTGGATTTGCTTGACATTTTTAAGGGTCTTGCAATGTTTCAGAAGAGAAACGCAGAGATGCTCGAAGTTGTTCATTCAAATTGACATCTTTGAAGTAGTACGAAGTTTGTCACCCTAAAGAAGGAGAATTGTTGAGCATTTTCTATGTTGGTGGTGATGATGAAGTTCGTGATTCATCGGAGAGAGAGAGTGACTTTGAGGAGGTAGAACTTGTCCGTTGATATTCCAAACCACAATCAGTTTTTTTTTTTTAAATTTATTTATTTAGGTTGTATAATTATTAGGAAAATTTTAAATAAATTATCAAATTGTTTATCAAATACTGGTAAGGGATTATACAAATCACATGCGTATGAATCTCATGAGAGATTTGATAAAAAATTTAACAATTTATTTAAGGTCGCTAGCATAACTTTAAGGGTTATTTATGTGAGGTATATATATATATATATATAAATGATGAGGCCACCAAATAAAATGATAAATATAATATGATAAAAAAAGGAAAAATTATTTATAAGTCCTATTAGGGAGACTTCTACTACATATGATCCTACACAAAAATTTATGTTCTCATAAGTCCTGTGTGAAGTTTGTTGACACATTTGACACCTATATAAACGTAACGTAACGTGACACCTACATAAACGTAACGTCGTGACACCTACATAAACGTAACGTAACGTGTCACGTTACGTTTCGCAAACTTACTAGGTTTTTTATTTTTTTAATTGAATGTGAAAATGTTACTTTCTATGGTAACATTCAATTTCTTATATAGCAAATTGAATGTTGCCATAGATAGGTTTTTTATTTTTTTAATTGAATGTGAACATGTTACTTTCTATGGTAACATTCAATTTCCTATATAGCAAATTGAATGTTACCATAGATTAAGTTTGCGAAGCGTAATGTGACACTTATATAAACGTAACGTGACGTGACACCGACATAAACGTAACGTGACACCGACATGAACGTAACGTCACGTATTACGTTACGTTTCGCATATATTAATACCATTTATTTACAACTTATAGGATCTTGTGGAATATATTACTATCTAAATAGGACTTGAGACTCTATAAAAAATTACACAGGACTTAACCTAGCATAAGTGTCCAAAATAGGACTTATAAATAAGTCTCCCTAAAAAAACTTGTCCATAATTTCTCATGTTTGTTTGGATGGACATGGGCTTAGGATTGGACTAATAGTCCAATAAAATTATTAATTCGATATTTGGTTAAAAAATTGAAGTATAAATTAACAATCCTTTCGGATATAATATCTCACATTTGATAAACTATTCAATCCCACAAAAAAAAATGAGATATAAATTTAGAGATTAGCCAAAGTTTGGACTAACTCATCAAACGACCAAATTAACCCTCACTATATATCATATTTGTTGATTATTTTATTCTACAACCTTCACTTCTTCGACATTGTTGTGATGGAATGAGAGTCTTCAAAGTTCATTGCCGAGCTTGAGCCATTGATCACCGATTTGGAGCCACCATTTACAAATCTGGAGCAACTGTTCATCGATTTGGATCCACCATTTGTTGATTTGTTGATCGAAACAAGGCAACTGTTCGTCGATTTGGATCCACCATTTGTTGATTCGTTGATCTCAACAAATTTCAGTGAGTAATTTTTTTTTTTTTTTTTCATTGATGTTCGGTTTAAATTAAGGTGCTATTACATGGATTGATTTGCTATGAATCTTTGTTTTACATTGGTGTTGTTATAGTTATTGCTCTTTCTCTCTCTTCATCTTCATAGATTTATGAGTTTTTCACTCACATTGAAATCTTAGATTTGTTGATTGTGAGTTCATATTGAGATCTCAGATTTGTTGAAATCTCAGATTTGTTGATTGTGAGTTCATATTGTTGATTGTGAGTTCATATTGAAATCTCAGATTAGCCAAAGTCTGGACTATGTTGCTTGCTCGTTGGATGACAAAGTTGAATGCTATAATATGTTGGTAACTGTCATTAGTGCTGAGTGTTCTTGGGGTTTGAAATGTTAAATCCTTTGTGTTCATACATGGAAATTGTTGATAGTCTTTTCATTTTCATGACAAAATCACTTGTGATTTTAAATTAGCAAATAGTCAAATATATGGATCAGATTTAATCTGAAGATAGATAGATAGATAGGGTAGGAATTTTTATTGATTTGAATGGGTTTAAAATTGGACTTAGTTTCTTCTATTTTTTTTTTCTTTTTATTGATACAAATTAATTGGACTTGGATTTATTTATTTATTTTTTAAATTAGCAAAAAGAAATATATTGATGTAAAAACCAGTCTGGACTTAGAAGCTGTTCCTATAGCCATGTCTGCTTCGCCCTCCGTTGAATAATTATATGCTTCACTTTCTGTTTCATAAAACAAAACAATTTGATTTACTCTTATGTTTCTCCTTAAAAACATATCACTAGTTGCAATTCTATTAAACCAAACCATCCAGCCAAATTGCTTCTCAAAAGAAAATCAGCAACACTTCCCTCCTTAGAATTAATTTGATAGTGTTATTGATTATTATATTACTAATGAATTGAGTTAGTAAGAATATATTTTTACCTTCATTATTTTCGTATAGCCATGTTTGTTGTTTCTGTTTTGTAGTTCAATCATTATTTTTTCTTCTCCCTCACTAATTTAAATTGTCTCTGCAGTGACTAAATCATTTGATCAACTACTTACATTCCTCAATTTACATTTACATGATCAACTAGAACTCTGATACTGACATTTTCAAACTCAGCTTAAGTTTTGGAAATATATATCTAATAGCAGACATAAAATTTCCAAGTCATACTTCATATGCAGCCAAGTCCGGAGTCATACCTCAACAGCTGCCTTGCAAAACAATACCATACGCTTTAAGATTTCCTGCTCCAGATACAAAATAACAAATTAACAGCTAGAAAACCAATTCATAACATGAGTATATCACCCTTTCATATGCATACCAAGTTTAAGTAAGATACATGCCTAGTGGTATCACTAAAATTTCAGACATATCATGGTGACTATAAAAAACTCATATCAAGAATGTTTGGTGCAGCTTTCTTTTTTGTTTTAAAAATTTGTGCCAAGAGTGTTTGGTGCAACTTTTTCTTATAGCTTATGAGGCATAAATAGCTTGAATAATCAGAAAAACTAATTTTTGAGAAGCAAGGGAAGAGATGCTATTAGCTTCTAATTTTTTATTATCAGATTTCAGCTTCTGGAAGTAGTACCAAATAGGCCCATCATATGTCAAGATAAGTAATCTTACCACCCGATCTCCACCATATATGTTGCTCTCGAAGTTGTGGAACATGTAGCTGTCCACAAAAACAAAATCCACACCATCTATATACGCTTGAAAGTAACTTACATCAACATCCTGCATAGTTGAGTATTGTTTTGCATTGAAATAAGAACAAAACTGAGTGACGCAATTCAAAAAGAAAAAAAAGAAAAAAAAAAAAGACGACTAGACATAGGAATCATAGATGGTGCTCCATACCTGCCCATCCACCTTATCCTTCTTGTATACCCCTGTATTTTGGAGTTCAGAATAGTCACCATACTTTGGTGCCACAACCTATAACAGATTTTTTTTTTTAAAAAAAAAAAAAAATCCACATCATCCACATTGTTTTATGACTTTGAGAGGTGATCTTAGACTCCTATGGTGAGAAGAATAATTAAATTGTCAGGATAAATAATGTGTACTAAGAAAGGGACCATTTAAGTATCCTAAATTTGTAGAACTACACTACAAAAAAAGAAAAAATAAAGCAGGTCAACTGATTTCTTTAAAACTATTGAATTTGAAGATCTCAGTATTGAGCTATTAACTCATCATATGAAGAACATAGTTACTATAACTCTGTGCCCACGCCTTGCCAAAGCTTTTGGTAAAGCCCCAGCAACATCTCCAAGCCCACCTATGAAAAACCATGAAAAATATTCCTCAGAATTAGGATCACTGCGGTGAAATGCAATAATGAACACAAGGACAATCAAAAGGGAAAAACTAGGCTTATTATATTACTAATGAATTGAGTTACTAATGAATCCCAATTTAAGAATATATTTATAGGGATTGTTATGCTCATATGTTCTACATTATTATTATTTTTTTTTGTTTTGTTAATTTTTTTTGGAATTATGAAGTTTTCTTGTACTCTAATATATTGATGTGCATCACTATTTGCATAGATGGAGTACAATTTCAATGGTTTTGGAGATGAGAGTAATGAGGAGCTTGAGCTATACATAGTGCTGCAAGTTGTAATGCAAGAATTGTACACCTTATGCGTTGTAGCATATATTGCCATTGGAATTGTCTTGAAGAGGTACATTCATAAGTATCCTCGTACCGTTATTCGAGGACCCAATCGATTGCAAGAACAAATGGACCACATTAATCGGCTAGTGAGAGAGTGACATTACATGCATTGAACAACTTCGTATGGATAGGCGTTGTTTTATGACGTTATGCCATATGGTTCGTACAATAGGCGGGTTGGGGCATTCAAAACATGTTACCTTAAAACATGCTACCCGGGACAAACCTTCGCGGCACTCCCCACATTGAATCAAAGATAAAGATATGGAAGAAACACTACAACTGTGTAGCAGGAATGCTTGGTACCAGTAGTTTTGGATGGAAGGACACTAAAAAAAGAATTGATGTTGAGAGTGATAGTGTCTGGGAAGCATATGTTTGGGTAAAATACTTTCTTTTAAGTTACTTTGTATAAGTTATTAATTTTTTAATTCATTTTTCTTTAATCTTAAGTTGGAGATATTAATTGAAATTGGTTATTGTAGAGGGAGAGCGATGCGAAAAATCTACGAAACAAAAGTTTTCCGTATTTCGACTCATGGATTCACATATTTGGTAAGGATCGAGCTACGGGGGAGTTTATTGAAGGGCCTGCTGATGCAGTTTTTTTTTGATCAACAAAAGCCCACTTTATTGATGAAGAAAGACTAACAAACACAACTTACATCAACAAAGGGAGAAGAGCAAGATGCACAATACCCTACATTGGTGAGGGACCAATAAGGGAAACAAAGAGAAAGATAAAAGAAAGAGTAAAAGACAGAGTAGGATAGGGAGATCCTGGGGAGCTACACCCAGTTGAGACTCCAGATACACCTACAACCAACCCCTACAGCCAGTCCAGCAGCAGCATCGAAGGCACAAACCAGCAGCCTACCAGCAACAAATCTTCTAGCTAGGAACCAGACCACACACAGCAGAATAGTGCACCAACCTGCAGCTGCAAGGCACAGACCACCAACCAGACAGAGAGCTGCTGCTGAGCCACAGCAACAGGTCAGCCAGCAGACCTTCTAAACCGAGCAGGCAGGTAGCATACAGTTCAAACCACCAGCAGCATACCAGCAAACTAACCATTCCCAACCCGAATCTCCTGAATGTTGCAGATAATCTGCTGCACTGAGTAACAGCAATCCTGGTTGTACAATTTGGTCCACAAAGCAATCCTTGTCTTGATTAATTCACACAGCTCCTCCAATTGCATTTGGCTATCACAGAATAGTTTCTCATTCCTGAATTTCCATAATGACCACAACACCGCAAATGGTATAATTCGCCAGATCTTGTTGAGGTTTTTTCTCCATTTGAAGCCCCTCCACCAATTCAGAATCCCTTCCACTGTTTGTGGAATTACCCAAGTCAATCCCCACCACTGCATCAGATCACACCAAATTCTCCAAGCAAATGGGCACCAAATAAGAAGGTGAAAAACAGATTCTAACCCGTCATTACAAAGCACACACATAGCAGAGGCTTCCGGCTCCAACACACCAATCCTCTGAAGAAAACTAGCTGTTTTTAGTCTCCCCTTCCATGCTAGCCACACTAGAAATTGAACCCTTGGAGGAGAATAACTATTCCAGATGACCTTAGTTACTATGCTATAAATGCTGAGGAAGAATTGTTGTTCAACAGTCTTGCAGATGATGGCACATTTCTTGAACATATGGGTATTAGTAGTGATATCGGCGAGGGAATAAATTGCTCCAGCTCATCAAGTCAACGACCACCTAAAAGTTCTACAAAAAAGAATGACAACAAGAAGAGGCCTAGAGGCAATGATGATGTAGTGGAAGGGTTGTCTATGATTGCTAACAAGTTGGGTGAGGTGTTTTCTACCACCAATGAAAAGTTGGATTTCATTGGTCGAAGAATGGGTTATGAACATGATCTCGCATCTAAACGGGCAAGTTTGAATGATGAACTCATTAAGTTGCCAATTACACTTGATGAAAGGTTACATGCTTGTGAGATCATATCACAAAGTGCTCAAAAGCTCGACATGTTCTTCAGCTTGACACATGATGGCAAACTAAGGTGGGTGATGAGGTTGCTACGTAGAAGTGCTCCATGATAGACTCGTGGCTCTTTTATGTTCTTTTACGTACTTAGTTTTTTTGATTACTCTAATGCATGTAATAAGGACTTGACTTTTTGCTACTTTTTTTTGTTGAACTACTCATATTTTGCTACTTCATGTTGTAATATGCTACTTGGAATGCTTATTTTGAAATGATGAATGATGTTTAAATAAATGCCCTTTTGAATTTGGGCAGTGAATGGTTGGATGATTAAAATAATAGGGCATATTTCTTAATGATTGCTTGTGTATATATAAATTTTATAATTGAATGATTTTTGATTTTTTCTATTAAAAAATAAGTGGGGGTTAAATTTTGTTCAAATAAATATTTTTTTGAATTTGAGCAATGAATGATTAGATGATTAAAATAGTAATGTATTTTTTAAAATGGTTGCTTATGTATATATAAATTTTATAGTTGAATTATTTTTTATTTTTTCTATTAAAAAAAGTGGGTTAAATTTTAAATTTTATAGTTGAATTATTTTTTATTTTTTCTATTAAAAAAAGTGGGTTAAATTTTGTTCAAATGAATCGAAATGAATGTGGAGCAACAATATGAAAATTTGTTTTTTAAAAATTATAACTCATTTTTGTGCAAAATTTTACATTAATTATAATAGGGGTCTCATGGTCAATATATTGGATGTCCCATCTCTTGTCATGTCCTATCCATTCAAATCCCCTTAAACAAACATCGGATTGGATAATATTTTAGTAATCCCTCCTTATAATCCTAACTCAATATAAACATAGGATAGGATACACAATCCAAAGGATTCATAGTCCTAGGACTATTAGTCATAGGCATGCTAATCCAACCTAATCCAGTCCGCCCAAACAAACATGGCCTAAGTGTAATATTATTGGTCCAATATTATTAAAAAGAGTACTATTAGGGCCTAAAGAAAATTATCAAATTTGAAGTGTTGATTTGTAAATTAGGTAGATTATTTGGAAAAAAAAAAAATCAATTTCATTAAATTCTTATAACAATAACTATATAATTTTATTAAATTTAGGAGAAATAACATAAGAAGATTCATGATTTAATCCTTATAACAAAATAAAATAAAATAAACTAATTATTTTATCAATTTAATTTTTAATATTTTAATTTATTTTTAATTTAAATTAATTATCTAATTTAATAATTAAAATCATTGAAAATAATATTTAAGGCATTTTACGTACATTCATATTGTGTTTAATAATTAAAATATTATTTTTTAATTAATTTTACTTAATAAATAAGCAAATAATTTTAAATTTAAAACATATCAAAAAATTAATATTTAAATTTATAAAATTTAAATTTTAGGATTCATTTTGTTACATAGATGAAATCCTGATTTTTATTTTTTTTTTAAACTTCTTCTTAAATTTATCTAAAATAAATAAATAACAAGATAGGCTAGATTTAGGAGTCATTTAACTTTTTACAAAAAAACGTAAAATATGAATTAGATGTTGAGAGAAAGATTCATGGCTTGCTGTGGGTCGAGCTAAGTTGGGCCTTAGTTAAGGCCTATGCCCAGACAAAACAAGCCCACGCGATCGAGCGAGATTTGAGCACGGTCAAAAGCGTGGCATATGCTAAGGCGAGATATCAACTCGGTCTTGTGGAGTGAGTTTGAGGCATTAGCACGGCTCAGTGGTGTGCACTATGCGAATCGGACAGAGTTCGTCTTCAGAAGACCAAATTCAATCGAACTGGAGCTCGGTTATGACCATGGAGCTCAGTCGAGCCAATACTCCGCCCAGTTGTACAAGGCCAGATCAATAGCGTAGTCCCGAGGGAAGGGCACGGTGCCGCGCTGAGAATAGCTCGATAAGAAGTGCTATACAATGCATTGGGGTCGCGAGAAAAAGATTTCACTGTCTATACGCGTCAATACCATTTTGACAGTATCGCCACTTGATGTTTAGCAGTGTCAGAGCTAACATGTGGAAGAACATAAGAGGAGAACAGGTCCATGTGTCTAGAGGGGAAAGGCTGAGGCACGCGTAGAAACTATATAAACGATGCTGCGCCTCCATACATAGGTCTAGAACATCTGGTGATCAGAGCTCACCTACTACTTTGTCTCCTCTCTTTTCTCTATCTCCCTCTCTCTCTCTAAGTGTGCTAACTTGACCATCGGATGGGTTTTCCGGTAACACACCGCCAGGTAGCTCACCATCTTTGTGTTCTCAGGTCAGTCAAAAGGAAGTGCAGCTTGGACACGGGAGTACGGATAATGTTGGATATTTGGCTCTCATACAATTGGAGCCGTCTGTGTGAAGCTTTGACAGACAAAACCTTGTCCTCCAAGCTCGTCTGATCATCTTTCATGGCGAACAAATACGAAACTCTGCTGTCCGTCGTCGACGACATCACCCCAGAGTCAGTCCAGAGGAGAGACGAACCCCCCGCCGTTTCGAACATGGCGGGCCTGGAGAGTTCATTTAGAGGGCTCCCCAGAGATGCGCGAGATAAGCGCGCCAGGAGCACCGATCACTCTCAGAGTCTAGACGGATAACGGTGGCAAAGAGAGTCGCACTCTTAACGCCTGGAGCACAAGCTGAGAGACCAAGACGCCATCATCCGGAGGATAGTGGCAGAGATGGAGGTGCTTGTGGATTCGACTTTCTTCGTGCCCCCCTCTCGGAGAGCTCAAATTGGTCCTACAGTTCGGACTCCCGTCACGGTTTTGAATCTAGTCTCACAAATGCAATGTGAAACTGATAAACACCAAAGAGTCCAATCTGGCAAATCATTTTGGAAAATCAGATTTTAAATCAAATATTGCCAAAACTGGACTGCTTTGCCATATTATAGAGTCACTACCTAACTATTTTATTTTTGGAAAATTTAGGAAACCCTGACTCCTGCCAAAGGCCACGTGTCCGTCATCACCAAAGTTGCCTCGGCTCGGGAACTTGAGTAGGAGAGGAGAAGGTCTTGAAATGAGCATCCCTGCTCGCCCGATCAAAGATCGGCCCCTACTAAGCATTATATGTTGTTTGATAAACACATGTGTTCTTGTTTTGATTATTAGCTAACTTTACTATGTGACACACATATACGAGTATAGACTAAGTCGCAAGACTTGGAACAAATCAATTCATGTTTGTTTTTTAAAATGGTTTGAAAATGCCACCCTCAAGTGGGCTAAAGCGTGGATTTGCCACCCCTCAAGTGGGCTTAAAACATGATGATTTGCCACTTCACAGAGTGGGCTTAAAAAAACTCGCATTTATCAAATTGTTCCAATTCAAGCAACAAAGCCTTTATCCACATACATTCATACAGTTAATCACTTAAGCAAATAGTCTCATGGCAAGCATGCTGTCATGGCAACACTCACACTCATGCAAGTATGCTAAAGCGTAAAACTTAAAGCGTACTCCAAGCCAAAACAAAAGCTAGTTAGAAGTATGCATGATCCTAACTATACAAAATGCCTAATACAACACATGCAATATGAATTAATAGGCTCAGCTACTAATATGGCATTTGTAACACTTTGATAGCATGCTTTTAAACACGTATTCAAGAAAGTGTATTGAAATACGATGCATTTTGAATGATGCGTTGAGCCCGGTGCATGCAAGACAAATGAATGATGCATGCATGCAAGCATAAGGTATGCTAATCAAAACACGCCCTAATCTAACCATCGAAAGCGGTTAAATAAAAGAGAGAAAGACGTGGGGTTGGAAGACATACACACACGCACGCATACTTATTACAACATTGCGCCCTCGCGAAGGAGGGTCCGAATGAATAAGCTAAGCTACTCTAGACTAAGCTAATCAAACTAATCTAATTAAACTAATTAGACTAATTATTACACAACAAATAAAGAAATAGCTAAACTAAGCTACTTAATTATTACAACACTTAACTAATTAGCACACTAATTAATTTAATTACAAAACCAATGAATACTAACTAAACATGCAAAACAAATGTTAAAACTACACTGCTTCAGCTCTGCCTCGGGAAGCGGAGGGTGCATGCATTTGGTTTTCGCCCCGAAAAGCCCACCGGTTTGCTCTTGAGAGGCTTTGTTTGTAGGGTTAATCCAAGAACTTTTTGCTCTACCTTACCAACTCACTGCTGAGGAATGCACCAGTGGCCTACTGTCCATGATTGGTTACTGCCGGCCATCTACCGGCCAAAGATGAAGCACTACCGGCCATCAGTAAGCCACTGTCGGCCACTGGTGTGCTGAATCACCAAACTGCAACAAAGCACAAACAGAGGAAAAATGAGGGTTTTCCAAGAACATGTTTGTACTGTGCCCCTCCTTATCATCTCAGAACAGCAAAGGAGAGGCACTCTTGGATCCAAAACCACTAATCAAGCATGTTCAATGCATGATGGCCAAAGATCCAAGTTGTACACTTTCAATAAATGCACAAATATGACACAAAGGACCACCACCCTATTATGCATGATCATGGGTGATGGAGACTAAGGAGATTGGGTCATTTCATCACTTTGAGTATGAAATGGACCAATATACCTTGTGTTCAATATAACGTTCGATTGAACACAATGCAATGCAAACATAACATGCTTATCTTGGTCATGT